GAGTTGAAGTCCACACGTCTTCAAACGGCCAAGGTTGACAAACACTGCCTTATGGCTTATCCAGGGTCACTTCAGGGGACTCATGAGCTGGAACCAAAGGCTTAAACTAGGATTGTTTGCACGTCCTTCGAGGAACCGGGCTCTGGAAGATCGTGTGAAAGCTGGCCTTTTCTGCGTGGGTAGGCATAGCTTTAAGCTTAAGTAGGCCTTTCCCTTTCTGGGACCGTAACTCCCAGAATTCCCAAGGGCTTCTGGAGAATTCTGGGAGTTGCAGTCCCAACACATTCAAGGGGCTCCAGAGGATCCTTGCTGATCCTCCTGGGGCAAGCAGGCTGGTACGAAGGCAGAAAAGGAGCTAGGAGCAGCCTGTGGCTCGGAAAGACGGACCAGGGAAGGAAATCGAGTTCAATCTCGTTTACACCAACACCCTTTGCGAGACCCACCCGTTGCCTTTTGGCCCTTGCCAGCCAGGCTGAATCCATGCGCCAATTCCTTCCATGTACGGATCCATGCGTTCCCATTTGTGCTTTCGGTTTTTCGCTTCTGCTTGTTCACACATGACTTTCTCGATCGTCTTCCCCTCAACCTTTTCGCTCTTCTTTCCGTATTTGTTTTATGACTTGATCCGTCCGGCCACACGGACTCAATGCCCGACGATGTCGGTCCCTCCTTTTGTCCCTTGTTTCGACACCCTGTCATTCTTGACCACAATGTTTGTACAACTTTTGCATAACGAAGTGTACAGCAACTCGCTCTCCTGCACGGCTTATTTCAACAAACTTTCGCTCCTCGCAACAGGCCCCACGCTACCCACTTTCTTTCCACCAGAACTTGCCCACCTTCAATTTCTCCATCTTCCCATCTTTGTAAGTGTTCTACCAAGGCATGCAATTTATTTATTTTTATTATTATTTTATTTGATTCATGGTGACTCTGGGCAGCTCACAGCAGTTAAAAACACAAACAGCAGCCAAGTTCTTTGCTCCGGTTTTGCAAATTTTGCAAGCGCAATTGTTCAGTCCATTTTCCCTGTCAAACACAACTCTCTTATTTTTTGTATGTTATTTTAGATCTGTACTCCTGGTTGCATCATGCAATCTATCTAACATTTGCTGCCAATCTTTTCAGTTCTTAGACAACATGGCATTGCGTGCGTACCAAGATAACCATGTAGTCACATCTCCACGTACCGTCACCAAAAGAACTCCTTAGGCATTTATCATAGTTACATAAAACCACCAAGGAAATCTCACTTATCTTTTCTTTACCCCCTGTTCAGTGTTGAGCCCAAGTCCAGTTATTCTCATGCATCCCTTACTCCCATCGCGTACCACCCTTATCACTTTAAACAACCAACTTTCGACTCAGATTATCGTAAGTGTTCTCTAAATCAATACATGGACAATACACTTTTTCACATTCATGTATTTCTCAAGAATTTGCTGAAGAGCAAGAATCTGGCCTGAACACCTCGTACCCAGCCTAGAAACTACCGCGCGCTTTTCTAAATTAGGTTTATTGTTACCTCTTGCATACTTTTGATCAGGACTCTGCCAACACATTTAGCCAACCCCCTGGAGCTTTGGCGTTCGCTCTTGCTATTGTTCCCTTTGTACGGGAGAATAACAGTGGCATTCTTGCAATTGTCTGGTGCAAATGCTGTCTTCACACCCATATTAAGGAAGTCACACGATGGCTCTGCAAGCAAACCGGGTTCATATTTTAACACTTATCTGCTTACGCCATCTGCATCTGCAGACATCTTCCCAACGTCCTCACAGCGTTTATGATTTTGTTTTCATCGTTTTCTGGAATTCCGTCATTTATACCATTGGTCTGAATTGAAATCTTTAACATAGGAGATCACTCCTGCATACATATTTAAATTTCCTCACTACAGTTTCCTTCCAAGCCATGTCCCCATTTTTAATTCTTAATTCCATTCATTCTTCTGGAAGCTCCTTATTTGTGAACTTCCAAAGAATGCTTTTATTTCCATCAGAATCGCACTGCATTTTCTTTGCTTCCTTTAATCTTCGTTTTAACCATAGCTGTTTCTGAGAAGATTATTTACAATGATTTTTTTTCTCCCTCTGGCATTATACAATATCTTTCTCTCACCCATTTTTGCAGCAGTTGTTCTCTAATAGGCACTTCTTCCTATCCACAGCCCTTTTCACTTCATCTTTCTACCAAAGATCCCTCATTGTGCTTCCTCAGACCCTTCGGTGGCACCTTGTGCCATCACTCCTTTCCCTCTCTTCCCGGCAACCTCTACATCCTCTTTTCTTGCACCCCATTCCTTCTTTGGGGAGATTATCTTCTAATCCTCTTTCACAGGCTTTCCTTCAGTTCCATTTTCACTCTTCTTTCTGTAATGGTATGTGGGAAAGACCTTGGGAGACTGGGCCCAGAGACACCGCCAAGGGAACGGTCAGATAAGAGACAGCTTAGCCCACAGCTGCACAGTGGGTGGGGAAAGAGGCTCAGAAGAGACCCTCCCTAATTTCTCAGGCTGTAAAGGAGACGGGGGGGAGAATTGTATTTTCAGACTTGCAAGATTCTGTTAATGTAGCCTTACAATAAAGTAGAATTAGCTCATCTGGTTGTGTTTCCTGTTTGGTCTACCTAGTAAGGCTGACACTTTCCTTCACGTCTTTTCTTCCATGTCATTTTTTTCCTCCAAGATCCTCTCTTGATAAAATAATGGCAGGTCCACATTTGGAACCTCTCATCATCCTTGAATCCTTCTCTTGATCTCTCATCATAAAATGTCCTGCTTTAAGCTTTAGATTCATTCCTTTCATTCAAGCCACCTGAACAGACTTCAGGCTTAAATTAGGTAAACAAAAATACCTTTTTCTAGGGAGACACCAAAGAGTCCCCATTCTCATTCAGTCTTGGGTCTCCAAATTATACAATCCCCTTTTTTTTCTTGTTGCCTTTTCACTCTTCCATTCATGTCGACAGACATCAGTTCATACCATCTGACATACATTTTAGCCCTTTCATTCTTAATTAAACCTACATTCTCAAGTCCATCTCCACGTCCATCAACTCGAGAAAATCACTGCCTCGGTTGTCCCCCTGCCATGTCTGGCATTCCCTGCTCAAAATAAGAACAGTTCCTACCAGTGCGGGCACATTTGGGGCAACATGCCACAAGCACCAGAAAATCCCCTTTGGGGAATGCAAGACTTTCCGTGCCCTAGACGGGGGAGAAGAAGGGGAAGAGACCTTCCTGTCTTCTCAGAATATGACTACTTGTTTATGGCAGCTTTTCCCCCCAGACGGGTGAGAAATGCCAGTCTCACGATCTCAGCCAATATGGTTGCTGGCTGGAGGACAGTGGTTGAAGTCCCAGTTCATCTGGGGTCTTCCAGATTGGGCACCGGTGGCTTGCAGAATTAGGAAAGCAGCAACTGACATTTGCTGACTCAGAGTGCTACAAAAATGTCAAGCAAACCATTTTGCTTTCACACAAAACCAGGGACTTTTCAGTGCTGTCCCGAACTTCTCTGTTTGCATGGCGGGTATTTAAAAACAACAACACAACACTTTCCAATAACGTCTTTTAAATGGAGCAATATTTCATCACCCTGCAGTCAGCCCAGTGCCACAAGAGGCAGAGAATTTCACAAGTGCCTCTTTTCCCATCAGTAAAAGTGCAACAACAATAAATGGATTAGCGACCCATTTGTTCTCCTTCGGTGACCCCCTCGTCGAATGGCAGGGCTGGCTTTGCCCAGGACTCGTATTCCTGGAATCACGGCTAGAGGAAAGGAGGGTTATCCTCTTTTGAAATGGAATAAATGAAAAGGAAGCTGTTAACGCAGAACGTTTGCTGTTATTGTTTTTTAAAAGAAGCCATCTTAATAACAGTGGAAAGATCCTGTTAAATCTTATTTGTGCTTTATTTCATTCGTAATTGTAAACAGGACTCAGATGGGACAGGAAGTGCCGTTGGGGGAGCAGAAGTGGGAAGTGAGTGTATTATTTTCAGTCCGTTTCCATTTTTTCACACCTGTTTCCATCTTGCCCCTCTGTTTACATCTCTTTCTGCTGTCTGGGGAGTTGAATTTAAGGACTTAAGAACCTCTGGATTGCACCAAGGTCCGTCTTAATCCACATTTTGTCTGTCATGGTGACCAGCCAGGTGCTTCTGAGGTGCTCACAAGCAGGAGGTGGAGATGTGCCCCTCTCCCGAAATTTGTCCCCTGCAGCCTGTACTTGGAGGCTTCTGCCCCCCAACCCAGAGGTAACATGGAGTCTTCAAGGCCAATAAGGTAGACCTGTCCTCCAGAAATGTATCCAGTCCCCTCTGAAAGCCATCCAAGTTGGTGGCCATCATCATATCTGAAGAACAGAAGGAAGGCTCTGTTGGATCAGACCAAGGCCCGTCTTGGTCCAGTGTCTTGTTTTTCCCAGAGGCCAACTGGATGCTTCCAGGAGATGGAGACCACATCTCTCACAATCTCCCAGACCCTTGATAGACCTGACCTTCATCAATTTACCCAAGCCTACTTTAAAGCCCTCTAAGTTAACGACCACCCCTACATCTTGTGACAATGAATTCCACAGACTATTTTAATTGGAAGGGGCTTGTCTGGGAAAGACTGAGCTAAAACTAAAAAAAAAAAAAAATCCCCCCAACTGGTAGTTGCCAGCTGGGGATGACAGCTGTGGAAACTGTTCTGCAGGTCTGAGACCCATCGCTGTTGAAGCTACGGGTGCCAGGGAGCATGTACAGAAGGCTCCTTCAGGTATTAGGAGGCCAGATTTGCGGGGGAGCAGTCATGCTTTTTGCATCTCACCATCAGTAACCCTGATGATGATGATGATGATGACGACGATGCCAGTGGGCCTGGGAAAACAGGTATGCTGCAAAAATATTTGTGATGTTGATCCCTCTTCCATTCAATGCAGGCTATAGATCTGGAGGGGAAAATACCTTCACATTGGCGCATTCAGAGTCAGAGATGGCTTTAGAGCAATGTTTCTCAACCTTGGCAACTTTTTAAAGTGTGGGAATTCGTTCCTACATAAATTTTCTACTCTCCATCCTTCACGTAGTTTTTTGGTTGGGGTGTTTGGTGAG